AGGAGGAGGAGCCAAGGGACCCGAGGAGAGAAAGTGTATTAGAAAACGATGTACAGAAAAGGATAAACAAAATATAAAAAGGATAAGAGAACGGATGCAACAGAAAAGGATATAAAAAGGATTAAAAAAATATATAAAAAGGATAAGAAAACGGATGAAACAGAAAAGGATATAAAAAGGATAAAAAAAGAATATAAAAAGGATATGAAAACGGATGTAACCAGAAAAGGATATAGAAAGGATAAAAAAGAATATAAAAAGGATAAGAAAACGGATGTAACAGAAAAGGATATAGAAAGGATAAAAAAATATATAAAAAGATGGATAAGGAAAACGGATGTAACAGAAAAGGATATAAAGAGGATAAAAAAAAATTATAAAAAGGATAAGAAAACGGATGCAACAGAAAAGGATATAAAAAGGATAAAAAAGGAATATAAAAAAGGATAGAAAACGGATGCAACAGAAAAGGATATAAAAAGGATAAAAAAGAATATAAAAAGGATAAGAAAAACGGATGCAAACAGAAAAGGATATAAAAGGATAAAAAATATAAATAGGATAAGAAAACGGATGTAACAGAAAAGGATATATAAAAATGATAAAAAATTAATAAAAAAGGAAAAAAACGGATGTAACAGAAAAGGATATAAAAAGGATAAAAAAATATATAAAAAGGATAAGGAAAACGGATGCAACAGAAAAGGATATAAAAAGGATAAAAAAATATATAAAAAGGATAAGAAAACGGATGTAACAGAAAAGGATATTAAAAAGGAAAAAAAATATATAAAAAGGATAAGAAAACGGATGTAACAGAAAAGGATATAAAAAGGATAAAAAAATATATAAAAAGGATAAGAAAACGGAAGCAACAGAAAAGGATAAGAAAACGGATGCAACAGAAAAGGATAAGAAAACGGATGCAACAGAAAAGGATATAAAAAGGATAAAAAAAGAATATAAAAAGGATAAGAAAACGGATGCAACAGAAAAGGATATAAAAAGGATAAAAAAATATAAAAAGGATAAGAAAACGATGCAACAGAAAAGGATATAAAAAGGATAAAAAAATATATAAAAAGGATAAGAAAACGGATGCAACAGAAAAGGATATAAAAAGGATAAAAAAAAGAATATAAAAAGGATAAGAAAAACGTATGTAACAGAAAAGGATATAAAAAGGATAAAAAGAATATAAAAGGATAAGAAAACGGATGCAACAGAAAAGGATATAAAAAGGATAAAAAAATATAAAAAGGATAAGAAAACGGATGCAACAGAAAAGGATATAAAAAGGATAAAAAATTATAAAAAGGATAAGAAAACGGATGTAACAGAAAAGGATATAAAAAGGATAAGAAAACGGATGCAACAGAAAAGGATATAAAAAGGATAAAAAAAAATATAAAAAGGATAAGAAAACGGATGCAACAGAAAAGGATATAAAAAGGATAAAAAAAAATATAAAAAGGATAAGAAAACGGATGCAACAGAAAAGGATATAAAAAGGATAAAAAAATATAAAAAGGATAAGAAAACGGATGCAACAGAAAAGGATATAAAAAGGATAAAAAAAATATATAAAAGGATAAGAAAACGGATGCAACAGAAAAGGATATAAAAAGGATAAAAAAATATATAAAAAGGATAAAAAACGGATGTAACAGAAAAGGATATAAAAAGGATAAAAAAAATATAAAAGGATAAGAAAACGGATGTAACAGAAAAGGAAATATAAAAGGATAAAAAAGGAATATAAAAAGGATAAGAAAACGGATGTAACAGAAAAGGATATAAAAAGGATAAAAAAATATAAAAAGGATAAGAAAACGGATGCAACAGAAAAGGATATAAAAAGGATAAAAAAAATAAAAAAGGATAAGAAAACGGATGCAACAGAAAGGAATAATAAAAGGATAAAAAAAATAAAAAAAGGATAAGAAAACGGATGTAACAGAAAAGGATATAAAAAGGATAAAAAAAATATAAAAAGGATAAGAAAACGGATGCAACAGAAAAGGATATAAAAAAGATAAAAAATATATATAAAAAGGATAAGAAAACGGATGTAACAGAAAAGGATATAAAAAGGATAAAAAGATATAAAAGGATAAGAAAACGGATGCAGAAAGGATATAAAAAGGATAAAAAAATAAAGGATAAGAAAACGGATGTAACAGAAAAGGATATAAAAAGGATAAAAAAATATAAAAAGGATAAGAAAACGGATGCAAAGAAAAGGATATAAAAAGGATAAAAAATATATAAAAAGGATAAGAAAACGGATGTAACAGAAAAGGATATAAAAGGATAAAAAAATATAAAAAGGATAAGAAAACGGATGTAACAGAAAAGGATATAAAAAGGATAAAAAAGAATATAAAAAGGATAAGAAAACGGATGAACAGAAAAGGATATAAAAGGATAAAAAAATATATATAAAAAGGATAAGAAAACGGATGTAACAGAAAAGGATATAAAAAGGATAAAAAAAAAT